AAAGGTGTGAATTTTTTCCTCCTCATTTGAAAACCATGAAAACAAAATGTTTTGAAATAATTCATCATCAAAGATTGAGCATACTAATTAATGGAATTTTAAAGATAAAAATATGATGGAAAAAGGTTAAGAAAATAATTACTACAATGAGAAAATATTAAGGACTTTAACTGTAATTAAATGTGGTGTACCAAATAATAATTGTGGTGTCAATATAACCATCTTTATAGATATCATGATTCTTGTCAAACAATGATGAGATCAAATATGATTTAACTCTGCGAAATATATTGGATTAATCAAATTATTACTCGAGTTCACACAAGTTACTACATCTTCAATAAATCCTATCCCCCATCCCAACTAACCTTTACACATAGGGAGCCCCCCCTGTCCAGCTTTAGACGGGGCAGGACGGGAAGGGGAGCTTGCCCCGTTAGTTTCGGCTCGGGCTCGGCCCGGTTAAAATGACCGAGCTTTTTTGCGGGCTCGAGCCGGGCCAAGCTTTTGCTCGGACTTTTTACGGGCCGGGCCGGGCAGGCTCGTTTTCTCCCCCCCCCCCCCCCCCCCCTTTTTTCTTTCCTTCAAAATTTCAAGTTCAATAAAATAAAAATAATACTTACACTAACAAATTTAATATCCAAAATAAACACTCGAAAGTCGAAATAAACACTGTCCAAAAAGAAACAATTGCAATTAAAATTACATTGTCATTGCGACATTGTAACTAAATTTCATTTCTTGATCCAAAAATTGTCATTTTTCAATCTTCATAACTTCATTCATCAATAGAACTATTAATTCTACTATCAGTTGCTTTATTTTATTCATTTAATTTTTTTTGACATTTAATTTCTAGTTTATATTTGCCATTACAGAAAATGCAGGCTCCAACTACAGATATTGATCGATAGCTAGTTTCTGTCACTATTGAGATTGACTTAAATTGGTTGAATTAAATTTGGAGTTATAGTAGTCTAATTAAAGTCTTAATTTAATAATTAATTTTAGTGAAAACTGATTTTATATAAGAAGAAAATAACTCTTAATATAATTGGAAAAAAAAATACTCTTCCTATACACTTAGGAAAATGATGGGTCTTGCAGGAGGAACTAAAAATAATAATAATAAATAAATAAAATTCACGGGATGGGATGCCCCACCCCACCTCGAGACCCGAGACGGAGAGACGATTTACGCCCCGCCAACCCGTCGGAGTGAGGCAGGACGAGGTAAATGGCCATCCCTATTTCCACACGAAATTACATCTTCAATCAATACTAACCTCTTCAAACAACAACAACAACAACAACAACAACAATTATTATTATTATTATTAAGAGGAAAAGGGATTCTCCATCAATTTTCCCTTCGTGGAATTATGAATGTTTTGCATATTTTCTTTGATGAGATAACTGTACGGTCAGGATCTATATGCTTCCATTTGCCTTGTTATTACTAAATTTCATTGAATTGCAATTGCTCTTAATGATTTTAGAGGTAACCTACTTTCTATGAAAGTTGAAAAAAATAGAGTATATTTAAACAAATTGGGAAGATATGCTAATAATTTTATCATTGACATTCGTAAATAGTCATGAAATAACAAATAGTTCTTTTGGTGATCAAGATGTCCAACGGGTTTGTTTGAACCTTATTTTTTTGGGAGAATAGATTTTGTAATAGTGAATATCATGTGGTTAAAAACGTATGAAATTTTTATGGATTTTCATATAAAATTATTTTGCCCATGTTTGAACCCCATTATTTAAAAATTCATTTTTTGAAACTTATTTTCAACCATACATTCTTTCAATAAAATAATTTACATGTCAATTCATAACTTTTTCATACTTTAATCACGTATTCTCTAAAATAATTATTATTAAAAAAATTATTTTTCCAAAAAATAAGGCTCAAAAAAAAATTGTAGGGAGAATGTGTGGTAGAAAATGAGTTAAAAAAGGACCAAATTTTAAGATGAATTGTTATCCACTTTTTAGATTTACAGTGTCTACCTATTCCTTACTTTCATTCTCTTTTATTAAGGGAGGCATGTGTTTCTACTTTTTTAGGGTTCTTGTCGATTGTATAATAATTTGTTGACCTTAAAAAATGTGCCAACAGAATCCTGACCTCACTCCTTCTACGTGGACATTACTTGCACACTGAACACTCCGTTAGAAGGCAAAGACTGTTGGTCAAGAAAAAGATTCGACGACCGTTTACACTCCGACAGGAGGATGGGAAATAATATGAGTGCAAGAGAGGGAGCGAAGTTTGGCTAGGATCAAAATACATACCTTAATTGTAAAATGAATCACATATATATAATGAAATGAGAATGGGGCCAAGTTATGTTAATGGGCCGAGTCCAAGGCCAAGACGAGGATAATTAGCTTAATAGGCCCAATCTAATGAATAGTCGATACCACGTCAGTGTATATGGAACTCCTTCTATCACGCGCATGCCACATAATTTATGAATATAACAATAATCCCCCAAATCCGAGTAGTACATTCATGTGATGGGTTGGACTTCGGAATATAAGTAGTCAACAAGGTGAGGTCTTACCGATTTCCTCAAAAATATAAGTAACTCCAATAAGCAAGGACATACAAACTGCCTTGAAAATATGCATTGATCTCAAATATGTGAGAACCTACAAATTGCCTTAAGAATATTAGCCGCTCCAATAAGTAAGGACTTGCAACTGCCTCGAAAAATATCTATGCAAGCCTAATCTAATAAGGGCTTATAGATTGTATCAAAAGATCGCATATAATTTGTCAAAATTTCGATAGTATCTTCTCTATAATATGGACCAAACCAACCTATAATACAGTAGCACAATATATTCACTGCACATCTACAAAATAAATTAGAGCCCACTTACCCCTCAAATTACTCATTACGATAAAGTAAATAATGATATATCACATTTCTTCAAGATATAATATACAGAAAGCCCATCATGTATACCTCGCCCCCCACGTGGACATTATCTGCACACTGGACATCTTGTTAGAAAGAAAAGACCGACGATCAAGAAAAAAAAATTCGACAATCATTTGCACTCCGGACAGTCACATAAACGGTCAGACAAGAAATAATATTAGTGCAAGAGAGGGAGAGGGGTTTGGCTAGGATTATAATACATACCTTAATTGTAAAATGAATCACATATATAAAGTGAAATAAAATGGGCCAAGAGATGTTAATGGACCGAGTTCAAGCCCAAGACGAAGTTAATTAGTTTAACAGGCCCAATCCAATGAATAGTCGATGCCGCATCAGTATATATGAAACTCTCTCTATGATGCACGTGCCATGTAATTAGTGAATATAACAATCAAACTCATTATTTCCTAGAATATATAGCCAAGGAAGTTACTTACACCCCTTTTGATTCTCATTTTTATCAAAATACATTTTTCTCTTTTTTTTTTTAACAATATATTTTTCATTAAAATAATATTATATGTAAAAAAATTTCTTATTTTTCATCCATACATTATACATCAATCTACCATTCTAAATAGGTGTCAAAATCTTAATGTGTATTCTAATTTAGACCATATTTGATACTCATTAAAAAGAGTTTTCGAGAAAAATGAGTTTAGAAATAGTATTTTTTGAGAATGTGTGGATAAAAATGGGGAAGAATTTTGAGTTTAGGTGCAAGATATTTTATTGTGAGAATATGTAGTTAAATAAGTTCTAGAAAAAAATTTAAAGAATGATAGACAAATAGTGAATTAGTTTTTCTATCTATACCTTCTTCTTTATTTTATTTTTTATTTTTTATTTTTTTGTGGTCGTCTAGCCAACTTCTAAGGTCTTGATTTGTAGAGAGGTTGTGACGAAAAGGAATGAGCATAACTTCAAAAGAAATGGACATTTTAATATAATAACAAGTTAATTCATTCTCTTTCGTTTAAGAAAATGTAGTAGCAACTACAAATATGATAGTCTAGAAAATAAATATTTATTTCGCAGATTGGCAAACAAATGGTGAACATTTTAGGTTTCTTGAATTGAATTGGTCATTTTTACCCATCACTGTCCTCAAAACAATGGTGTAACATCAAAATGGGAAGGTTAAAAATAAAAAATAAAAAAAAAAAAATTTGGAGGTTGCCTCCTCAAGTGGACATTGGGGAAAAAAATTTATTCTTAGATTAATTAGCATATGCAGTCCTTGATGACAATTCCTGTCTAAAAAATCGTTAAGAGAGTATAAAAAGACTTATTTTCTCTTTATAGTTTTTAGACAAGTATAACAAATATGAAAGTAAAAAATACTTTTCCCTTCTTTCAAAGCATGCTAAAGAATATTTGGACATGAACCTTTGAAAGAAGATATGCTAATTAATTGAAAGTTTAAAGTAAGAATGTAATGACAGAAAATTAAGTTCATAAATGCTACGATCAAATATTATGTTTGTAGATCATGCTACATTAGTTAAATTATTACTCGAGTTTCATACAACTTACGGTAACTCCAACACACGGACTCCTCATAATGAAACTTGTTGACCTTAAAATATTCGAAGGGCTTTGCTATCAACAGATCTCCTACTACGTCTTCCTCGAAACTGTAAGATAAACATCGTTCGGCACCAAGAACAAGTCAACTGCATCGTTAGGCACCAAGATCAAGTCAATTGCATGTAGAAAATCGTGTGGGAGAGACAAAGCTGAGATCGGACTAGATGTTATAGAATTACACACCTTTTAATTTTTATCAATGCATGGCTATTTATAGAGAACGAGCCATTGTGGAATTAGGTTTATGACATTTTAACTTAATTCCACATGTTCATAGTCCCAATTTAGTTATGAAAAATTATTTTTCCTTATGTGGCTATGTTTCCTTGTGAATATTGATTTCATATTTTTTCATTAATCCTCAAGGATAACGTGCTAATTTTTAGAAATTGATGATGTAGTTTCCTTATTCCATATTTTTTTTCTTAAATTATAACGCAACTCAAATACAAAAGCCATGGAAGCCTTCAACCACCGAACCCTGATTGCTTCACCATGATTGTCCAGGTTGAGCAGCATTATTCGACTTGAATTACAATCCCGCTACACATACACGCCGCTTTAACTGTTGGGTTACACGATGACGTGGCAAAGAAAACTTATTAATGGGTAACATGTCTTGAACCGGCGCAAATTGAAGAAACCCGCTTACCCTCGCTTTCTTTCACTTTCTCAGTTGCCCCAAAGGCAGAAAACCCTCTCTAACAAACGAACTGATACAAGGAGATCTGCGGGTGCGCTCCACCATATTGAGAAGACGGTGATAAATATAGTGGTCATCTCCATGGTTTTGTTTTCCACCCGAAGTTAAGCGCACGGTTGTGAGGAAAAAAATATTTAGCCGCAAGATTGGAGCAAAGTCGCCCGTTGCTTAGGCCTTCTTCTCCGGTGGAATCTTGAGCAATATTATGTAAGTAGAATATTTGGTCATTTATTTTTACTATGGGGAAGTAATTTATGTTTTAAGAAATGGAAAAATCTAACTCTCACCCCTATTTCTTCGAAGAACCCGACGTACTGGGCTACAAAGTTTCGAACTCCATTTCGAATATATACAAGTTTCGAATATATGATAATCTGGGCTAGTGTTGAACATATGGCAGTCTAGGTTGCACAGTTTCGAACTTCATTAGTATGCCTTTCAATCTCAAGTCATACCGTTGTTTGGAGATGGTGAATGTACATAATTTGTGTGAATAATAAACAATATGAATAAAATCTACTTGTAAACTGTTAGAAATATTTCTTTGAAGGGTTTGTGTAATTTTTAAATATAATCATAAATCTGGAGAGAAATGTTTCTACCTACCAGTAATATGATAAGGCATAAAAGAGTTCAATTTTGTCAAAAGCCTTTGATGTATGACCACATCAATAAGAGAATTTGGACTCACAATTGAATTTGATAGGCACAATCTCAGACAGAGTATATAATGTTGAAGCCCTTTTGTTTTCTTATGGTGGCATGTAAAGAGTGGGTTAAATGTGTAAGTTTGTTAATGTTATTATTGATATGGTTCTTAACATTCAAGTTTGGTTTTAAATTCAATTTTTTTGAGTATCTTGATTCTACTGAGCAAGGGGATTTTGTTAAAAATGTTGTTTAGTTGTTTAATGTGGTGTAATCTGTGTGTCGTTTGTGTGTAGTATGCCGAGTAAGAACTCTGGTCTTTGTCATAACTGTAAAGAGAAGGTCCACTTGTTTGCGGATTGCCCGGACAAAAGGCGATGCCCCTTGGGTAAAAGTGGATTTGTGAAGTGCTTCGAGGTCGAGAGGGAGACGAAGAATAAGGGAAGACTGTTCAATTGCTGCAATGCTAACTGTAAATATTGGGCATGGGTCGATGAGGGAGAATCAAGCTATGGATCAAGTGATGTTACCATTAACTCGAATAATCATGCAGCAATCGACCAAGTTTAGGAGTTCTCTTGCATGTTCTAGTCTCTTTGTCATGTGGTGTCCGAGGAACGAGACATTGAGATTTCTTTGAACGTGACTATAAGGAAGGCCAACGAAAGTGCGGGAGTTGATGTGAAAGGGAAGGGGCCAGCATGAGTAATGGTTATATTTTCTTATGAAAAGGAAGGGGCCAACAAAATGTGGTGTTATTTTTAGTTCATGTGTAATATGTGCCGTTGGTGAGCCGAACAAGTCATTGTAATATATTTGCTTTCGATGTTTGAATCGCTATGTTAACGATGTCGGTGTTAATAGTAGCGGACTAGAATTTGTCTTGTTTGTTATATTATTTGTGTTCTTCATTGTGCTAAGATAGATTTAAGTGTTATAGCTCTTCAAATAGCTGGGTTTTGGTAATTCCTGCCCCATGCCCAAAAAATAGGGCGGGAGGTCCCATGAGCAAATTCCCTGTGACATGACCAAATTTCAAATAAAAGTAGAATAATGGATGAAAAATCTACATACGTTATAACATGAGAGAATAATGATACAATATTCAACCATGTTGGCCGATTAATCAGCAAGTTTCTTTCTGCCAACTAAAGTTTCTTTCTGCCAACTAAAATTTCGGTGTAGCTACAAACCAAGTATCAAGAGTGGAGGAGAGGATGTTACTGGAAAAATCCAAATATTCATATAACTGTGGCCAAAATAATAGAAAACACAAAACTCATTCACACATTATTATATTTTTTTCAAAACACAAAATTTAAAAGGATTGTGGCTTTAGCATAATGGTGGAATGCTTCAAAATATGCATATTGAATTGGCCACCTATCTCACTGATGTCTATCTTCGACTGCCCGGGAGGAGGCAACAGCTCGAAATTCTGCACCACCAAAAGCACTCCTCCAGCCGTAGGTGCCACACCATAAGCACTCCTCCAACTATGGTGTTACTGCACTGAATGCATCTACTCTTCTGCTGGACATATTCTGCGCAATTAAAAGAAGTGAAGTGAGCAAAAAAGATCTCAACTCATGTTCACCTCTTACACCGAAAAAGAGTTCTACATTTATCCTCCAACCTTCCCATCATGAATCGAATAAGAGCTGAATTAATAAAGCAAGAAAGACATCAAAAAAACTCAGCTTAGACACATTACAAATACTTGGTTAAAGTAGAAGCAAAATTAATATTCCAACACTCAAATTAAGGCCAAAGCTCAAGTACACAAATACACATAAAATATGGAGAGGAAAACATAAATAAACAACCCATCTGCATCTCTTAATTACCTTGTGAATATCCGTCCATCATTCTTCTTCGTCTAACATCAAAAGTTCGTCCATGTGGGCGAGGTACATTTGGAATGTAATTAGGCATTGCATTTCCAACTATGAAGTAGAAAAGGTTATTATGCAAATGAAGTATGACTTAAAAAACTTTACGGAAGTTCACCGTACGACATATCATTTGTTCAACCCATTTGGATGAAATTCGGAGTCATTTGTTGTTGTGTAAATGCATAACTTTCGCTAGCACCCTGCACCATATCATGATGTAACCGAAAAGTGCAACTCATATTCAGTAATCGATGGAAAGAAAAGAACCATCAAACGTTGTGAGCATGTGACTGGTTGCTGCATGGAGTATCGGACCGATTCAACTTCTCCTACTGGACTTGGGCCTGCCTTAGTTCTCCCATCTTTGATTGAAGTTATATGGCCCTGCATAAGAGACAAATAATTACTATTTCTATGCACTTTCTTACAAAACCAAATAAGTCACATACATACAGTTGCTTTCTTGGACTTCGGTTCAAGATAGCTTTTCCTCTGTAGTTTCTTCGGTGCACCTTTTCTGTTCGACCATTTCGAATCCTGTACACTTCCCTTGCCAGAGTGCTGCGATACTCTATTATCCAACATTGTCTGAAAAGGTTGCCGTGATATGTTATTATTTCTTCTAATCAACCTCGTCGTCACTGTTCCTTCTTTGCATTCTATCCATTCCATCACCTGACGACTCTGCTTATCATCCCCTACAACCTTGCAGGCAAGCAAAGTAAATGACCGACACAATTTATCATATCTCAACTGGGTTGGACTACTACTCAAATCGGCGTATTTTGCTGCAACCCTGGTGAGCGCTCTACTAACATCTCTCCTCCATCTCCGTAATATGTAGGTATCGGGCAGTGAAGTGACGTTATTACGGAGAAGTACAGTGATTGCATGCCGGCAAATTATTCCTCGATACTCGAAAAGATGACAACTACATACAATTTCACATTTCTCTTTTTGAAATGTGACAGAAAACTTCTTTTTCTTCACTCGATTGTCAAGTATGACATCCTCCAATACCTCATACATCGTCCTTGAAAAGCCCTCTGACGAAGATATGAGATCGCAATAGATCTTCCCAATGAACTCAACCTGAACTTCCCTAAACTTTGAAATTGTGTAAACTAGCTGAAACTGCTTCTCTAGCTCGTATTTCGTTACGCATGGAACCATTTGCGAGTAAGATTTGATATCTGCCTGAAACTCTTTCTCTACCTTATTCCTCAAAGCTCGTTCGTATTGTTTGACGAATTGCTTCAGCGATATCTTAGAGGGCACGTACCCGTCAAAGAATGCATTCATGCTCTCACTGCGCTGAGTGGTTGACATTCTAGCCCCAAAACTTTTTTTCAAATAGCAAGGTACCTAACAGTCTCTGTTAGAGTACAGTCTAGACAACCAGTCATTGTCATGCAAGTTATACTCCTCTACCATCGTACTCCAACCTTCTTCAAAGTCTTCAACATTTTCAGTATCATACCCCAGTACATGTATAGTAGAAAATATTTCACCCTTATCGATGTGGTAGCCAAACTTCTCTGACAACTTCTTCAATATATGCCACAAGCACCATCTATGTTTTGTGTTTGGGAACACGATCTGAATTGCATTTTGTATGGCCCTGTCCTGATCGGTAATAATTTCAAGGAATACTTGTCCATGCATGCACTACAGCCAAGTTTTGAAAAGCCATACAAATATTTCTGTATTTTCGTTTGACAACAAACCACAATCAAGGAGTGTTGATTGCCCATGATGATTAACTCCAACAAACAGCGCAAATGGCATGTCATACTTATTAGTTAGGTACGTGGTATCGAACGTCACCACATCCCCAAACTCCTTGTATGCTTACCTACTCCTATTATCTGCCCAAAAGATATTCCTCAACCAGGACTCTTCGTTTAAATCCATACTAAAGAAAAAACCTGAGCACCTTGCTTGCATGTTTGAAAAGTAAACCTGTATTGCTGCTGCATCTCCTTCTCCAAGTCTTAACCGCCTCACCTGTTCAACATAATTTTGACAATTCTTTTCGATGCAAGTCATATTCTCATATTCCTCTGCTTCTACAACCGCGGAGTTATAACTTTTATGCAATGGAATCCCTGCCATATCATTCACTTCAAGCCATCGTTTGACATAGGCACTCAATTCTCGGTTGCAACAATACAACTTGGACTTTGAAGGGCTGGTTTTATGATTGTGAATGAGATTGACTGTATTAATTTTCCATACTCCACATGCATCTGCAGATGCAGTCAGCCTACTTTACAATCTGTCTGAATGGTAGCTTGCAGCTACATAAAACTGCTTGTGGTACTATTCCTTTGCCCTTCACAGCTACATGTAATCACAACATATCTCACAATTCCGTCATCATCCTTTTGTGAGTTTCGTTTCCTAACCGGGAAGCCCACTTTGTACACATATCTTTTGTAAAAATTGAACATTTCTTTTTCATCACTGAACTTCATATCTACCTCGGGCACAATCATACCATCTAATCTTGCAGTTCCATCATTCACTAAGTTAACACTTTCCAACATATTCTTGTTATTTGATACTAACAAGCTATCATCCTCCATCTCTTCTAAAATTCCTTTCCCTGCCACAAAAAAAAAAGGAAAAATTAAAACGAACACAAGTTCCGGCATATAATTCATCCTTGGAATGCAAGTACCCGAACATTGCTTGCAGCAAATTAGTATGACCAGGTCTAGCATTTTTGTTATATACAAGACTTCTTTCATTTCACTAAGTAAAGGTGTATAATCTAGCATGTTTCTTCAACCCAATGATCATTTAAGATAGTCCTAAACATTTGAGCCCAAAACACCCGATTTACATAATATATGGGTTAAAATGAACACAAGTTACTGCATATAATTCATCCTTGGAACACAAGTACCCGAACATTGCTTGCTGTAAATCAGTATGATCGGGTCTAGCATTTTTGTTATATACCAGGCTTCTTTCGTTTCACTAAGTAAAGGTGTAGAATCTAGCATGTTTATTCAACCCAATGATCATTTAAGATGGTCCTAAACATTTGAGCCCAAAACACTCGATTTACATAATATATGGGTTAAACTTTCCACCCACAGAACATCAAAATTATGTTCAACTACGTATGTGCAAACTATCAAGAACAATCTTATGTTTTCTACGTGACAATAACGACTCAAAGAGAAATCCAGAGAAATCAAACTCAAATGAGGAAGAGGAATACCTTTGTTTGTCATCTCTTCGAATCGAACAAGATTTTGCCTTCTTCTTTGCTTCCTAAGTTAACCCCCGTATTGGGTACCTCATGCAATGTCACGACGAAGAGAAGTCGAGAGAAATCAGCGACGCAATGTCCCCTGTTTCTGTAACAAAATGCCCCGATTTCTGGCACAAATCAACGACCAAATTGCTTCAGTTCATTGGGAAGGAAATATGGATGCAGCTGAGAGAAGTCGTAGGCAAAGCAAAAATTAATTTCGCGGGCAAAACGAAAAAGGGATTGCCAGTTTCGAACTTATTTGTCATTTTGAAATGGGACCCGTCCACAAATTCAAGAAATCGGCCCAGTTTTCATGTTTTTTCTATTTTTTTATTTTGCCTTCCATGTAAGCGTGTCAACCAACATATAAAGAGCACAAATAGCTTTATTACTTGAATTAAACCACTCAAACAGGTCTTCTTGACATGTAGGCACCCTATCCCTATCCCTGTCAAGAAGCCCTATCACTCCAGCAGAGCTGTAGTGACTTTGTATATTTTGGTTTGTAACAAAATGTCTGTGTATTTTATTCATATAAATATAAAAAATAGTTGATGTAATTATAGTGAATTGTCATTCACTCAATAAATAATGTTATGATTTCTTGATTTTGCTAAAGCGAGTAGACATTGCAAAAAATTTTATGCACTCCTCCATCTAATTAATTTCATGATTACGAATGCTCCTCAATGTTTATTGATGCTCCTCAATGTTTATTGATGCTCCTCAATGTTTATTGATGCAGCGTGAAGATAGCACCTTAATTTCTAATTTCATTAAGTCCGAATAATACTGAGACAATATCCAAAGTTGGAATTAACTCCTTGCTTTATAAAATATATAGAAGAACATTCAAATAAGACAACAATTCATAAAGTGTTTAATCCCTTGTTCGAGCTACATTCTCTAAAAGTACATTTTTCTCTCTTATCTTTTCAACACCATATTTTTTAATTAAATGATAATACATGTCAACCCAAAATATTTTACCTTATTTCTTAATCACACATTCTCCAAAATATTACTATTCAAAAATGCATTTTTAATGGAAGCCAAACAAAGGCTATCTCTCTTAGGAAACTAAAAATAGACAACAAACTCTTATTATAGCCTCTTTATTTACCTCGTTCTCTTTATTTTAGAGAGAGAAACATTATTTTAAGTGTATAACCTCTTCGAGGAAAAATTAAAATAAAGTGTAAATGTGACTTTGAGTCAAAATATACTCTCTACTTCCTTACACAGTTTCGTATTCATCTATCAAAATTCATTTAAACCCCCCCCCCCCCCCCCCGCCCCCCCCCCCCCCCAAAAAAAAAAAAAAAAAAGAATTTTTGAGGTGGTTCTGAGTGTGTGTGAGTTGAGCAATCGAGCATTGTCTCAACATTGTACGGGCACCAAAATGTTTTTTTTTATAGATGTATATATGTGTATAATTATATCTTTAAATTGTTTTATTGATTTTAAAATTAAATTTTTTTATTATTATGTTATGTTAAGGGACACAATATTTATGAAATAGAGTTAAAAAAAATTTACGTTAATATTTTTTAAATTTAATATATTATTAAAAAAATAAAATTTTTTTTCTAATTTTAAATTGTCTTGTTTTCGATAAAAATATTTTAAACTATCATTTTACCAGCTCAATACCAAATGCTAAATTAGCTTCATTAACCAATTAGCAACCTAATAAGACAATGAACAGCCCAAAATCCAAATGATGAAAGTGAAGAGTGAAAAGCAATCCCAGATCCGGACCCCATTCGTCATTTCCCTTTCTCCCACTATTTAATTTGTGAAGAATAATCAAATAGAGAAGAGAAAAAACTCCACCGTCGGTCTTTGTTACTTGTTCTGCAATACTAAATATCTACATCATAACAATGTTGTTTTATTGGTGCCAATTATCTACTTGTTAATTTCTATTTCATGGTTTTTTTTAGAAGGATAAGTTTTTGTTGGACAATAACTAAAAAGATTTTCCTCTTTAAGTTTTTCTTTTTGGATGAGTCATATGTGATATGTTATAAGACAAATAGACAGATTATGACTCTTACTTGATATTATTGTATTTCTTATTCCTAATCCTTCTACATTTTTCCTTTGATTGGTAATAGACATGTTTGACATCTATTGAACAAGATTTACTAGAACATATTGAATACAAAAATTTAACTAGTGAGTTAGCTTCTAGAAACGTGAGAAAAATATTTTACTATTATGAAAATAGGGAAAAACATAATAGTCAAAACTCAATTGTGTTTTTTATTGAGAATCATAACCCATATTTATAAGGTCCAAAATAAGAGTAACAATTGGAATGAAATAGATATTCTAGATTAGATAAGATTTATTTATGAATCATGATAACACTAAATAATGGTCAATAATTATCTCATTATTTTACAAGACTATATCTTTAATGATTATTTGTGCAATAACTACCTCGTTAAAAACCTCGTTTGATAAATACCTAGTGGAGAAAAAATCAAACAGAGAAAAAAAGAATATGATTGGTTGTTAATATTTTGAGGTGTAAAGAAAATGCTACCTCATTAAATCGTTACTAGGAAAATCCAGTGGGACAAATTCTAGACTAAGAAAAAAGAATACAGCTACTTCCCCTAATAAAAATCACTAGAGATCATTGAGTCGACGTATTCCAATCTTATGAACTAATTTATTGAATGTAGATATTGACAATGTTTTTGTGAATAAATCAGCCACGTTATTATTTGAGCGAATTTATTAAAAATTGATACTCCTGTTCTTCTAAAACTCATGTGTATGAAAGAATTTTAAAGAAATGTGTTTCGTCCTATCACCTTTAATATAGCCTCCTTTAAGTTAGGTAATACAAGCTACATTGTCTTCATGTAAAATTGTTGGACTATCTTTTATTAAATTTAATCTGCATGACATTTGGATATGATGGGTCATATTCCTTAACCATACACATTCTCAGCTCAGCCTGCTTCATGGATTGCAATAGTTTCATAATGACTGTTGCTTTCAATGATTGATTCATAGATCTCCATGATATAGCTATTCCTCTACGTGTAAATACATATCTTGTTTGTAATTTAGTTTTATGTTGGTCAGAGAAATAATCTTCATCTGCATATCCCACTAAAGCGAATCCCGACTTTTAAGAATAAAATAATCTCAAATCAACAGTATTCTTTGGGCAACGAAAATAGTTTAACACCATTACAATGTTTTTGAGTTGGTTTTAAGCTATATCTTGCAGGGAGATTTATAAAAAAAAGTTATGTCAGGTCGAGTGCAATTTGCAAAATAGGTTAATGCTCCAATTACACTGAGATATGGTACTTCAGGACCAAGAATTTTTTTTCTATTTTCAAGTGGATGAAATGGATCTATTTTTACTTTTACATAAAGCGATTGAACAATCATAGGTACTTTATCCATATAAAAACGTTTTAAGATTTTTTTGTATAGGTAAATTGATGAATAAATAATCATTCTGAAAAATATTCAATATGCAACCCAAGACAAAATTTGGGTTTTCCCAAATCCTTCATCTCAAATTTATTTTTCAAGTAATCAATAGTTTTGTTGAGCTCTTTAGGATTTTCAATTAAATATAAATCATCAATATAAAATGTCACAATTGCAAATCTAAAATTTTTTTCTTTATCAAAATACATGGGTAGACATCATCATTTTATAACACTCATTCAACAAATATTTGCTAAGGTGTTTATAACACATGGATCCGGATTATTTTAATCAATATACTGATTTCTGTAATTTAATTAAGAACAGATTCTCAGGAATGGATTGTTTATTACTGGCACTTTAAGTCCTCCAGAGACTTTTATATATATGTTACTATCAAGTGAACCATATAAAAATAAGTAGTTGCTACATCCATAGAACATATATCAAGCCTTCGTAACAGTAATCAAACTAATTAAGGATATAAAAGTGATGATATTTATTATGGGAGAATATATTTCTTCATAATAATTTTTGGTTTTTATGAGAAATTTTGAACTATAAGTCGGGCTTTGTAACTTGTAATTTCATTATTTTCATTTTCTTTCGTACAAAAATTCATTTGTATCCACATTTTTCAAGTGTTCGAACTACAAGTCTAAATATTTTTCGTTTCTCTAAGGAATTAAATTCTGTCGTATAGCTTCTTTCCATTTTGGTCAATTATTTCTATTTTGACAATCTTTAACAGACTGTGATTTAGGATTCTTATTTTGCATAATATCAAGAGCTACGTTAAAAAAAATATATTATCTACTACAACATCATTTCATTTTTATAATTTATGAGATAATATATAATTTATTGAAATCACATTATTTTTGGACAATTATGATTTTTGAGGAACATATTTTCAATATTTGATTGATTAATCTTTTCAAATGTTACTTCTTTCAAAGTTTTTGGTTGGTATTTTTCTCTTGTACTTTTCTTTCTGAGGTACGGAGTCATTTAAACCAACTAGTCAACTACGCTTTTGGTGTACTTGAAATTCATTTGTCATAGTAGATTGTCTAACAAGGATATTAATATGATTCTTACTTTTCATTATTTGATGCAGTACATCATGTGCAAAAGTGTTGTCGACAACTTTTCATTCTATTTCTATTTCTATTTCTTTTTTCATAATGGCATAATTTATTGAGATGTCTCAATTTTTAACATATTAGGTACCTGAACCTCTTCTGAAATTTTATAATTAAATACTCATCAAAAGTATATGCGTCTTTAATTGGGACCATCTTTGCTAATTGCTCCATTTTCATTTAAATTTTTTTTTTTTTGTAATAGAATCGAATATCATCATGCTTTACACATGCCATAAATATATCAAATATAATGCTAACAAATTGTCCTTATAAGACATTAATTCATGTTAGAGCATTTAAAATCAGTGCGCGATATATTGTTTATCTCTTTGATCTGTAAATGTATCTAAATAAATTATCTTTCGAACTTTTGGTTCGAATGATATTTTGCGAAGATTTGGATGATGATGCATTTATAGATTATTTTCAATTTCTTAAATCATTTCCTAATGTTGAGAGAATTTTCCAATCAAATTGACAATCATTTTTTCAACGTTCCAAAATATCATTGGTAATTAACACAAAACGTCCATACATTTCAATGTTATTGTGCAAAATGCCCATACCTTTCATTTTTTGGTATTTTCACCTCTATTTCCACGTTTCAATTCGTAAAA